TGTAACACCATGTCCGTGGGACTAAAGAGGTCCAAGATTCATCACAACTACACCATGCTTAGAGAAACCCTTGAGCAAGTTCAAGAGCACACATACCTTGGAGTGACAATATCGGATAACCTCTCCTGGGAACCAAATTATCGGCGCACCGTTAGCAAAGCAAATAAAATCCTTGGTCTTCTTCAAAGAAATATCCACCAATGCAGCATAGAAACCAAAGCCAAAGCATACAAGGCCCTCGTTCGACCTCACCTCGAATATGCTGCCGCAGTCACCGACCCCTACCAAGCTAAATACATTCAGATGTTGGACAAAGTTCAAAGAAGGGCGGCACGTTTTGTGGTCAACGATTATCGTCGTAAATCTAGCGTCACCAAAATGATCCAAGATCTGGAGTGGGAAAGTCTGGCAGAAAGGCGCCAGAATGCCCGATTAAGCCAGTTCTACCTTATTCACAAAGGGGCATCTCCAGTGACATCCAACAAGCTTCAACTTAGAGACAACAAACATTCAAGCCGGCACTTCACAGCTGACGCATACAACATCATCGTATCCAGAACTGATAAATACAAGAACTCATTCTTCCCTAGAACCATCCGTGATTGGAATAGGCTACCCCTTGACATTACTACACGACCGACCCTTGTTAATTTTAAAGCTGCCCTCACGAACTAGACATCGTCTACACCCCGCGGCGTCATGGAGCTTTTAGTTCTGTTGCCGTGTACCAAGTGATGATGATGATTGTTCATGAACTGGGATTCAACCACAGAGCGAGTATAACCATTGCCTTAGGGGTACTGGAACAATGGCCATTTTGTGACGTTGTGGGGTACTAAAGTGGTAACCCACAGGTTTTCACGAAATAGATATATGGGTTTTACTCAAGAACCAGGAATCAAGTTCCAAGGTGGGTTGATTTGTCGCAAATGGAAGAGTTTTGGAAAAAGGGATGTTAAGTCCGAATTTCAGGCCAGGAAATTAATTCTGGTTTAAATAAGAGCATTTTGAAATTAGTGCGCGACATTGCAAAATTTTAGTACACGAGAACAAAGGAAGTACCCCACTTCCATGCCTGTTTAAGGGTGGATGCGTGTACAAACACTGCCTTATGTACCGGAACAATGGGAGGTACCCCACAAGGAATGCCCACCGACTTGCAGGGTACCGTTTCGGTACCCCACAAGTTTTTCACGAAATAGATATATGGATTTTACTCAAAAACTAGGAATTTCCAATGTGGGTTGATTCGTCGCAAATGGAAGAGTTTTAGAAAAAGGATTTAAAGTCCGAATTTCAGCCCAGGAAATTAACTATGGTTAAAATAAGAGCATTTCGACATAAGTGTGCGACGTTGCAAAATGTTAGTACACGAGAACAAAGGAAGTACAACACTTCTATGCCCATGTAAGCGTGTGTGCACCCGCAAGTGAACGGCTAAACTGTCCAACAGTTCGCCCACGCGTAGCAAATCACCATATAGCAATACACGCCACAGCGAGAGCACATCAACTCAAGTTCGTATACAGTTCGCTGCCCCTTGCCACATCTTCCGCGCGTACAAGTGTGTAGTGATCTACCTACGCGCAGACATAGTACAGTCGTTTTCCTAGTTCCGGATTTTTCCTAGTTCCGGATAACTTCAAATAAAAACCTACCGCTTTTGGATAAGTCTCCAATAATATTTTTCCGGACGATGTGCATTTTGAAAAGGAAAATGTAAGCTCCTTGATACACAAGGATTTTTCCGATAAAATCTTTAGAAGAGGAATTTTGGCCACATTTCCGACTCGCACTTCGACATGTTTGGACGGTTTTTAGAAAATCGCGGGAGCTGCGAATCGACGAAAAATTTTCTCCTCGGTACATCACTTGTACCGTGTGTTTTTGAATATTTTGTTCACACACTACAGTCGTATAAACTCTTCCGTCGAATGCTTGTTGAATCAAAATAAGTTGAAAAGTCTCTAATTTTTGAAAATTCAACACAAATGACCGTACTGCTTTTGGATAGCGCGTGCAATTACGACCCAACTATACGCGCGTTAATCGATTTTGTTTGACGTATTCTGTGATGTGTCAAAAGATTTTCGGTCCGTGCATGAGTTCTAGCCGTTGCACTGCAGACGAAAGTTTCAAAATCATTTCCTTTTTTTTCTCTTTTTAAATTTGTTGGAATTCTCTTGAATGAACTATTTTTCGAAAATGAAATAATACTTTATCAGAAAATATGCTTGATTCAGTTGGTTATGGCTGAAAAAAAATCGCATGAAGCAGTTTTGATCGATTCGGAACTGATTGAACCGATCCGGAACTGGGAAAAGTGACATCGATACTTTTGACGTCGTAATATCAAAATAAAAAGAGCTGAAATTTCGGAAAAATTATTTTGTGGTCTCTCCATCACTCAAGGTAAACTTTACAATCTATGTCACTTGAATTCGTGAAGTAGTTGAGCCGAAAGCAGCCTGAATGATGTTTGCTATCCAGAACTAGGAAAACGACTGTACACACACTAAACCACCCAGACTTACGTTACATACCTTGTGTAGACATTGCTTTGTTTTCGTGTAGTTAAGAAAACTCGGTACAAAAAATAACTTTACTTAAACTGTGAAAACTCTTTTAACCCGATTTTTTTCTATGATTCCCTATAGTGTTTCTCTTCATTCTGCTACAAATAAACCTAACCCCAAAATGCCTCTAAACCTGTTTTCCAGAAAGGGCAAAACCTTATGTGGACACGGCTTAGTCCACATAAGGTTAACACAACCTGCATTATGTGGACCTCTTTTGTTCACAAGTCCACATAGGGTATGTAACACAAACTCATTATGCTGCACTAAACCCACGGGACTTTGTTAATGCGTGCATACACACATGCCCTGATTGCTAAGCCACGCCCGGTCACGGGCGTACTAGTTCAATCGTAAGATTAGACTACAATGACATGTACATGTACATAAAAACTACACTTTCCGTCACTGCACAAAGAGTGTGCCATTGAGTTTGTAGCGTTTTCAGATGATTCATTCTTAATTATCAATTCATCTTAATTTTTAGTTAATTATCACACTTTAATTATCAATGTTCCTTTTTGAACTTTTTAATGATAAATTCTCCTGAATGCATTACTCATCGTTTCCCTTGTATACACATACACCCACACAGTGCCTATGCGATGTGTAGTCCCTATACTTTTATACAGAGCAAATGACCTTCACTGCCCACTCACGTCATTGATCAGTTTCTTAGTACAATCAAGTTACTTTCAAGATCATTGTTTTAAGGAACTATATTACTCATTCCTAGTCATTTTTCTGACACTCAAGGAACCACGATATGACTAAGTTTCCCCATTCTTAAGTATTTCTTATTCTCCAGACTTCCTGTTTCCACCAGTATATAAGTGCTGCACAACTAGCAGATCCTCATTCTGTTTTCTGTTTCATTTCTGTTTTCTGTTCCATTTCTATTCTACGTCAACCATTCGAAAAAAGCAATCATGTACTGTAGTCAGTTTAATTCGTTCTGCTCATCCAGTCAGTTCACCCAATTCTCTTTGTCTCAGTTCACTGTAACCAGTTCAATCAATCAATGTCTATTAACATATTGTTGTGGAATAAACAGTCACGGTAAACACAGTCCTCAACCAAAGAATTGTGTATCGACTCATCCATTTCCCAACAGGTTCCTGCCAGTGTTGTAGTACTCGTACTCGGTACCCGTACTCAAGTACTACTCGAGTACTTTTTGTTTGGAGTACTCGTACTCGTACTCGTACTTGAATGTCAAAGTACTCGTACTCGAAATGACAGTACTCGTACTCGGGCAGCAAGGTACTCGTACTCGACATGTCGAAGTTGTACTCGATCATCAAAGTACTCGTACTCAAATAGCAGTACTCGGGAGGAAATGGTATAGCTTGACTTTATACACCATGGCCTTATTTTATCGATACTTTCAGTTTGAAATGGTTGATTGGCTTGTGGAGAAATCGAAGTTTCCTGACTTTCCACTGTGCACATCCAGATAAACACAATTAATAGCTAGCCGTGATTGGGTCTGGGGCCAATTACGCACAACGAACCATTTGCCGTTTGGCCGTATTCGGAATACAAGTACGCACTCGTACTCGTACTCGAAAGTATAAGTACTCGTACTCGGAGACCTGTTCTTGTACTCGGAGGTACAAATACTCCTACTCGTACTCGTACTCGGCAACCTAAGTACTTGGCAGTACTCGGTACTTGGAAAAAAGTACTCGACTCCTGCTCAGTGGAGGATCTAAAGGGATTAAGGAAGGTTCCAAGTAAAAAAAAAACCCATGGAAGTTTAGTTTTTAAGTATCATTCAAAGAGTTATTGACAAATATCATCCCGAAAAAAGGTTCTTTTTCTAAATTGATATTTTCCAGCAAAACAAAAGTGATTGGTTTTAAATGAGACATCGAACAAAAAAAAAAACGGCCCATGTTTTTTTCCAAATTATTAAATTACAACTTTGAATTATTTGCTGCTAGATAATAATTTCATTCTTGGAAGGTATGTTGGTTCCTGCTTCACAATCAGTATCGATAATCTGCTCAGAAAGAGGATCTGTGCCAAAAACCAAACTGTTTTTGAAAGGGTTGCAGACATCCATCAAAGGGGAAAAACATTTTTTTTGTCGGAATAAAACATACAAATTGAAAATTCATTGATAGATTTGAATTTTAGTAGATTACGCGAACCACCCAAAACCATCAAAATCCAACTGTTTTTAGGGGAATCTGTTGGAGTGATTACTGCTAAGCAAATATGCTTTACATGGGCTTAGGCATATCATCATATTCATAGTCCACAAATTTGGTTATTGAGTTCATCACATGGTGTGGGAATTTGCAGGAATAAGGAAGGTTGCTAGTAAATCACTTAAGGGGGTTATTAATGCAACGTTAAGTATTTCATCTATGGATGCAGAACTTTGATGGAGGTGTTTAATTGAGAATTTTCTTGTAGGTGTTCGGACTGGTAAATGTGTGCCTTACCATTATCCTAATGGAACTACAACTGATACATGTGAAATTGAGGCTTGGTGCCCAGTGGAGTATAACATGAACCCAACGTAAGTCCTGTTTTCCTGTTTTAAATTTTAACCATCATGATTTTGAGTCATATTGCAGTCAACGTTTTTCTTCTACTCCTCCTCCCTCCTCCTTCTTTCCTCAATACCCATAAACATTGTACACGTCTTTTCCGGCCTCCACTTTTGCCATTTATCTTTGTCGAACACAATTCGAAGTTAGCACAGTCATAGTCCTTTTACATGTATAACAGATGGGTCAGACCCGAAGAGTGACGTTAAAGATTGCCAGATTTAATCTTTGAAAATCAATGAACTGGACTTTTACTGGATTATTTAAAATTGTAAAAAAGGTGTCTAGTCTCTAACCTAGGTTGTACTTCACAAAAGAAAATATCGGTGATGTAATAAAATGTTAGAGCGCCCTTTAGCGGCAGGTTGAAAATATTTAAAATGAATAATCAGTTGATATGTGGCGAAGTTTGCGGCAATCGCTCTAAAATTAGTATATATGATGACCTTAATGCAGACAGCACCTGTGCGCAAAAAAAATAATTAAACGTCGTCACACCGGACGTTAAAATGAAAAGAGGTTCCCTTAAAATTTCCTGAAAAAAATCAGTCGTGAGAGTTACAATCTTAATTTTTGCTTTAATGTCAATCTAAGGTAGGTCTAAAACTTTCCTATGAACTTGGAGATGCACTGCGGCACGTTTAATATTTCAAATTGACCACGCCTTGGCTTAAAAACATCATGCACAGTATGTACAAGTTCATTACGTCCCTTCATTCTCGCTAAAGAGGGCGGTACATAACATTACTATACCTCATACATATTCATGATCGAGAGCCGAACGTTCACTGGTCAATTCACCATCACGTGCCAGATGTTATTCTTGCTGTTTACCAAACGCGCGCGCGAGGATTCACGCACATTGTAAATACGCATGCGTAGTAGACTGTCGCATGGGTTACCCGTGCGACAGTCTACTACGCATGCGCTTTACAGAGCAATCGAGGAACTGTCGCACGGGTGCAGTACGCACGCGCGAACATCGCCCAGGAGAGATGCATGGTTGCATGGTTCGCGTAAATGTTAATTTCCAGAGCTGGAGAAAATTTATAGACCATGTAAAGATGTCTCCTGTACAAAAGAAAGCTGTACACATTGCAAACATTTGTATTTACAATTGTAGTAACTGTATTATATTGCAAACGAACCGAACTAGTAATTGAAGTTGAATTTTTTGGTGAGCTGTACAAGTTTCCCCGAATTTTGTTTTAGGTGCATAATAATAAAACAAAATTCGGCAACTGAATATGTATGAGGTATACTAAAACAAATATAACATGGTTTATTTCGGGTGGACAGTCGATATTAGCTCCCCTCGGTATTGGAAGTTGACAAACTAGTTCCCCCGGCTTCGCCTCGGGAACTAGTTTGTCAACTTCCAATACCTCGGGGAGCGAATATCGACTGTCCACCCTCAAACCATGTTATATTTGTATATTAATGGTTGTTTGCAGAGTAAAGAAGTAGCTAGGCACAGAGTCTGATCCTGGAAATGTGTGTTATTGAGCGCTCATGTATTCATTGTTCACTGTCTTGAAGTTTTGAGGATTTAAGAGTCAAGTTGTGCTAAATAGAAAAGGTTAACTCTAGTTTTTGAGAATTTAAAAGAAAACAATAGTTGCCTTTCTGTGTTTGTATGTGGGTTACATAGAAGTGTGTGACTTCATGATGACGAAATCCAAAATACAGTTTTTAAAAACACATACATGTATAAGGGAAGGCTCTATCGTCATAAAACAGTGGTGGGTAGCTAGATTACTTATCAATATGCAAAATCCTAATTGGTGTTAAGATGACGTCATCAACTAATTTTTAATATTTTATTTCTGTTGGCTTCTAGCTCAATATTAACTTTAATGAACTTTGAACACAAAACTATTATTAACATGACTGCACATCGGCAAAAAAAATAAAGCCATCTTAAAGCCCTTTGTTCTGTTTTCAAATAGATATAGACCTTTAGTTTATATATAAAACTTTTCAAACTTTTCAGACGCGACTTGAAAAATCTGTCGCCAGTTTGCGGGATTCTGTAGATTAATAATAATAATAATAATAATACCTGGAAAGATACCTTTAAGGAGACACGTTATCGTAATTTCGTCGCACGATGGGAGACATCGGTCATTAGGGGGACATCTTCGTGTCTCCCTTATGTCACAGCCCCCCTTTAGAGGCACATTTTTTTGGTCGCAATTAGGTCATATTTGTTGCTCGTGGTCTAATTAGCCTTTTGTAAACATACCGAAATTCGTGGAAAAAGGGATATTGGGTTAGGGCACATGGAAGTTTGAAAACTATTGTGCACAAGTCTATGGGGATGTCTCCAAAATGTTCAATCCAGGGTACTTATAAAGCGCTGTTTCAAATTGTTTTACATTATTATTACCCCAGCTCATTGGGCCTATTAAACATTCAAAATATGGAGAGTATACAGCTCGATGCTGCAATTTTGGCGCGAAGCAGCTAAATTCAATCAAAATAACCCTCTCTACCCTCACAGGTACCCATTTACTCCTGGGTGGATAAAAGTGCCTGCTCTAATGACTAACGCACCACTACCCCAGGCAGGAAGCAAATCCAAAACCAGCAGAATTACCCGCAGACCACTAGTGACGAATTCAATAATCAGAAACTCCGATTATCCAATTTCACCGGAAGTTCCTTTTCAGCTTGCAGTCATGCCAACCAAAAGTGATGAGCAGTGTGTCGCATGCAATGCCCTCAATGATGGTGGGATATTATTTGCGGGATTCAGTAACCACTATAGGCAGGGGGGGGGGGGGGGGGCAGAACCGGGGGGCAGAACCGGGCGGCAGAACCGGGGGGGGGATCAAAAGTGCCCCACTCGCGCTCAATAATGTGGCCCCTCGTGCTAAAACAAAAGTTTCCCTCAAACGCACACATGACAGTATTATGATTGCGCTTAAAAATTGTCTCCTCTCTTGTAATGAAAAGTGCCCCTCAAAAATACAAACACCCCTTGCACATTATAGTCCAGCTCATGTGTGAAACAATTGTGCACTTTTGCAAAAAGTGGCACAGATGTTTATATCCATGCCAGAAAATATATGTGGAGCCATCGCAAATTTTCCCTTTTACGGGCGTGGCAGCCATTTAAAAAAGGGAGGGGAGACTCCGTATGCCCGCAGTGCAAACGGTTGTTCCCACTTTTCACAAAAGCCGGAAACTTCACAAAGACATAATGATATAGATTATAAGTATTTTCCAGATTTGGAGCCACCACAAAAGCGTGACAGCCATGTAAAACAAAAATGGGGGTAATTAGTATGCCCGCCTTGCGAAAAAATGTGCCCATATTTCATGAACGAATAAAACGTCTCGCAGACGATAATGATAAAGAAAAAGACAGATGAGAAAAAATCCAGATGTGGAGCTAGCCATCTCGAACACATCCTTTTAGGGGCGTGGAAACCATATAAGAAAAATGCGGGCGTTTTTTTTTATTATTCCCCCATGGAAAAATTGTTCCCACGTTCATAAAGAAATGAAACTTTCCACAGACATTTACATTCATGAGAAAAAAATCCAGAGGTGGAGCCATCGCGAACACACCTTTTCGAGATGGAAAACCACCCCTCGAAACACAAACACTCCGCTTATAACATTAAATCTGTGGCCCACTCAAAATGAAAAAAAAAATGGCCTGTAAAAAAAAATAATTGTGCTTCTAAGGCAAATAAAAATCGTCACTGAACTGGCCAAAAAGCAACAATGCCCCTCTCATGATATAAACAAAATCAAAGGTGGCCCCCAGAAAGGTTACTGCCGGGGGTGCGCCGGAGGCCGAAGGGCTCTATCAAGTGACAAATTACCTTATTTGAGAACAATACGGCTATAAAACTATAGGAACTGGCCTACACTGTAATTTTTTGAGTAGGCCTAAGGGAATTAAGATTTTTTTTAACGCAAACAGTTTTAAAAGTATATCAATATTGTTATTAAATTTTATTCTGGGTAACATGTATTCCTTGCAATGTGAACGAAAATAGTTTTACAATTTTTTCCTCTTTCACACCGACGGAAGGTGCTTTTTTTTCTGAGCAAGTGCCCCTTTGTGGTGAGTTTGAAAAGCGTTCCGCCGCCGCTGCCACCAGCCCTTTACATAAACACTCCCAAGCTGTGGTGGTAAAAAAAAGTGGGTGGGAACTCTCTGACCAGTGCAATAAACCAAGAAAACTCTAACGAGTGGATGCGGATTCAGTCAGAGATCACGTATCAAATTGGTGGATGTTCCAAATATTTTACTTTATAGCTTGTGTCACACAAAAAAATGGAAGGCTTAACTTTTTTTCTGGTTGGTTTTGAGTGTCCGGCATCCAAAATCCAAACCGAATAGTGGAATTCGAATAGGATTTTAAAGGAAAAATCCAGATTTTAATTCAACCACTAGACTGGACTCAAGTTCGTGTTTATGAATCTTCACATTAGGCTGTGGACTCTGCTTCAACTGTAAATGACAGTGTCATCGATTAACAACAGTCAGAAGGACTAATAACGTACATATGCTGTTTTGTGATGGAACCGGCGAACAGTTTGTGATGTCAATTTTCAACAAACTGTGCCCAACTCAATACTGGTCATGGCTGCTTTGGTGTACAACAGAACTGATTGTGAAATGCCTTTCGAAAACATTCGTCAATTTTAACCTCCACTTTGGCAATTTGTTTCCATCCTAATACATTTATTAAACATGAATTACAGGAATACTACAGCAATTTTGAAGGATGCTGAGCGTTTCACCGTGCTGATCAAGAACACTGCGGCCTACTCCAAGTTTCACTTCTTCAAGTAGGTGAACATTAATGTTATTCTCATCCTTCACTGCAAACCTTTATAAATGTGAGCTTTGTCGATTTACTTGACAGACACCTCATAGTATAGTTTGGATTTCAGTTTCATATTTCATTATTATTGTGATGTTTGGGAAAATAATACGAGTGAAGTTTAACATTTTGAAAAAAAAAAGTATGTCAATAAATGTTCTGCTTTAGAAAGTGATGGTGCAGATGCAATGTTGGCAATAAATGTGACAAACAGTCACGCACGAAAAGTTAACAAGACCTGTGATATTGACAAATTGGGAGACGGTCAATGTAGAGTATGAGAGCTCAGTACTTAAGAAGATTACTGGTATTGTGTTCAAGAGGCTGAAGGTTTCAAATCACTTTTGTTTTCTTCAGCGATTGGTGCGAAAAAAATACACAAACAGGAGTGTGCATTTACGGATAGTGCGTAAAGAGAGACCGTCTCGGACTGGTTTAAAAAACGGTGGGGTTGTGCAAATATAGCCAAAGATCAACTCTCGGGCTTTCGGGCTATAATTTCGGGCTATAATTGATAAAATTACGCTGGAAAACTGGGTCCTTTAAATTTGCCCTAGAAAATGTAGGGATGCCATTTGTAAATTTGGCTGCACGCAGGCTTGGCCATAACACCCCTTGCTCGATTTATACAGTGAACTTGTTAACTTTACGGTGTAAAGTGCAACTTTCGCGAGCGTCATAAACATAAAATATAATTTGTTTTCCCATGTAGCCTGTTTTTGTTGTTGAAAATTTCCCACAAATGACATTCAAAACCTGTGTTTTTCGTTGTCGGAGAAGTTACTAAGTAAAGTTGGTTACGGGTACCGGATTCCTTAACTCTGAAAACAGTCAGGTACTCAGGTACACACAGTTCACTATATGAGAAATATCTGTGATTTTAACTTTACTGGTAATTGGTCTGTATTTGTGTTTTCTTTTAAGGCGTAATATATTGGAGAGTTCCAACACCAGTTACCTTAAAGGCTGCCTGTACAACAAACATTCGGATCCATTCTGTCCGGTCTTCAAACTTGGCGACATCGTCACGGCAACCGGCGAGGACTTCAATGCATTAGCTTACAGTGTGAGTTCCTCTCTTTTATCTTTTATCTAGAAACTTTTTACTGTACAATTCAATTGACAACATCAATATTTTCTGCGTTTATTTTGTGAGTTACTTTCGGGTGCAATTGTGATTTGGGTGCAAAAATAGAAAGCCAATGTTGTTGCAAGATTTGAAAGAAAAAAATGTGATTTTTTAAATAAATGGATGACTATTTTTCCTTGTACCATATAAGTCCTTTTGAAATTTTGTATAAGTCCTTTTGAAATTTCGTAAGTTCACAATTTTATTTATTTTATTCATATACAGGGTGACCCCCAAAAAGCAACCCTTAACCCTTCTTTTATTTCAAAGACGTGATCTGTGAATTTGAATTTTTGGATATCAGATTAAAGCTGAGAGCCTTTTCTTTCAAATAGTGCCCAACGTTTTTACAGTGTAAAAGGTTTAAAATATCATTTTGTGAAAGGCATTAAGACAACAATTGTTGTAGAACATTTGAACGTCCTTTGCCCAAGCTGAGTAGACATCGATGATTAAGATGGTTGTACTGAAGTTTACTTACGATCCGGAAGAAAAGTGAAATTTCCCGTTCAATTCTGAGAGCTCCCCTCGCGATCTTGAACACGTTAAATTTCCGACTCGTGTTATTTGTTTGAACGACGCATTTTCTTCTTCATGCCCAGCGTACATTCGATGGTCCCCGTATCCCGAGTGCGATTCCGTTACCGAGCGCGCGCGATGCATCGATTATGATAATGAGTCACGTTAAACACAAGTGCATTTCGAACTGTAAAAGGGAATCGGGAACCAGCTTGAACTGGTATCCGCCATAAAAGCTGCGCTAGTTCCCGACTCCATATTATCGTGCGAAACGCACATGTGTTTACAAACGTGATCCAGTCTACCATTATCATAATCGATGCATCGCGCGCGCTCGGTAACGGAATCGCGCTCGGTATACGGGGACCATCGAATGTACGCTGGGCATGAAGAAGAAATCACGTCGTTCAAACATGAACCTGTTAACACGAGTCGGAAATTTAACGTGTTCAAGATCGCGAGGGGAGCTCTCAGAATTGAACGGAAAATTTCACTTTTCTTCCGGATCGTAAGTAAACTTCAGTACAACCATCTTAATCATCGATGTCTACTTATACCTCAGGTGGCATATCTAGTAATTTGGAGGCCGTTTTGAGGGTGAAATCTGATGTATTTTGTTGGAAAATGTTGGTTTTTGGGACAGTGACAGGATGATGTTGTTTAGCTCGCATTATAACACCTCACCCACAGATTCTGTGTCTTGATTGGCCGAGAGCGAGTCACATGTTACTTTCTAATTTTGCTATCTTTCTGTGCACGGCCAAAAGTACTATGCGCATAGCAACCAAAGTACTATACCATTAGCAACCAAAGTACTATTTCCACGGCGCGGTATTTGTGTGCAAATGGATGCTGGTGTGCGCGTTGCGCGTTGTGCGCAGCGCGTTTTGTTCCAAAAGAGAGCACGCCACAGAGTTGGGTTCAAACATTTCGCAAAGGGGTAGTTTGGAAGAGAGAAATACATTTTCCACCAATTTTGTATTGAAATTGAAGTTTATTTCAACTGTGTTCAGATTTAAATAATTTAAAATATTATAACCAAGCAGAATCTGTGGGTGAAGTGTTATGAAACAAATATTGAATGCTTTATCTCGTGGTGAAGTAAAACTAGCCTCCCTCGGTGATCCATGGAGCATTCTATTTTCCCTCGGCTTCGCCTCGGGAAAATAGAATGTCCATGGATCACCTCGGGAGGCTAGTTTTACTACACCACTCGAAGCATTCAATATTTGTATACTATTAGCTTGGACCTTACTATCGCCAGACCACGTCCAAATGTTAAAAAAGGCGACAAGTTGGGTCCAAGTTACTCGGACTACTGTTACAGTAGAACTTGGTCATTTTCCACGGTATGTACCCAATACCTAATTTGGTGAAAGGCATTAGACACAAATTGTAGAAATTTTGACCAGATCATCGCACCGTGGGCATTTACATGCTTGGTAAAGCTATAATCTCCACAAGTTGGTCATTCAGTTTTACTCTGAGTCGGTTATCATTTCCTAAACTACTGGTGCTCAATTACGTGGTGAAAGGCACTAGACAACTCAACTCCCATATTGATTTTCGTGAGAAAAAGTGTCCGGAGAAAAAAAAAACCTGTCTACATTTCAGAATTATTTGCTTATGAAATCCACACTGCGAAAATTTCTGGATCCTTGTTTGGGTATGTTGGACATGCCACAGGCATATTATCGATGCCACAATATAAGGTGGCAACAACATGACCATCAATAAGTGCAAATTTTGAAGCGGACTAGTTTATATTTAACCATATGGTACATAGCTCATAAACTGGGCGTAATGTGCTGAATAATACTTTGATAAATTTATGATGCTCGTTTTGACATAATGTGATGTAGGACGTGAGCCCAAGTAATAACTGTGAATTTCTATGTGTTTCTTGACAACTATATCACTGTAAAAATGTTGGGTAAAACACTGGGCAGCTGGGCAATGTAATTTTAACCAAACTTTGGTTTGAAATACCTCATTGTGGGTTGATTTGGGTAGAGATTTTCCAACTATTTGGAAAAATTTGCCCAAGTGTTTAACCTGTTGATAAGTTGAACAACACTGGTCTACACACAATTTCATATCAACTCATTTTGACCGACGTTTTTACAGTGATGTATAAAAAATATGTCTTGTTGCACAATGTGAAAATAAGCCTGACCAATTTTCTTGAAATCATAGTTGACCGTTAAATGTGATAATAGACTTTATAAACGTTGGTGAAATGCCAGTGAGCACTTGATGAGAACATACGAGACACCAATGTTGTTGAAGTATAGTTGACCATTAATATTTATTTGATTAGGTAAATGTTCCATGTATTGGTCAAATCCAACTTGCCATCTAAGTGTGTGAGATAATTTGACAAATAAAATGGCAATTTTTAATTGACCAATTAATTGCGAAAGGCTGTCTGATCATATTTTACCCATCTTCTGGTCAAAATGGCCTGCCAATAATAATAATAATAATTATAATAATAACAATAATAACAATAATAATAATAATAATAGCAGGTTGTTATAGAGCGCACCTATCATAAACAACTGAAAGCTAGACAGTTGGTCATTAAGTGTCCAAAAATTGGGAAGTTGACATTTACACCAATTTAGGGCAAGCAATTGGTCAAAAAAATGCTCTATTTCTTCTTATATTGTAGTATCATATATAATGTCAAAATATTAAAGAAATCGCGCGAAGAAAAACAATTGCACAAGGGTTTTAATACAGTAACATGTTTCACTGTTTGAAGCACCTTTGGAAAAGATGAAAAATCACTTCTTATACATAATTGGCATTTTCTCAGCAACCCAATTTGCGGTTTTCATAATTATTTTTCGACATTTGAAAGAAAAAGCTCCCAGTTTTAATCTGATATAGAAAACATAAAAATTTAAGGCAAAATGTTTCAGGGTTGCATTTTTTTAGGAGGTCACCCTGTACATCGACATTTTTTTCTCAAATATAGGCCTATGTCTAGAACATTTGTTTTGGAGAAAACAATAATTGAAGTGTGCCTTGACATTTGTCAAGATTAATTTACCCTACCAACTAACTGGCTCGGTGCGAATCTTGTCCCAAATGCTTTGGGATTAGTACACAAGTAGGTCAAAGTCGACCTGCAACTTTTAGTCGGGAGCGCGGTCAGCGGAATCCTCTGAATACATGTACAAGACCAAACATTGTGCGTAGATTTTCTGTTTCCTCAAACGTATGGTGTCCAGTGAGTTTAGTTCTGTACGGCACTTAATTTGATTTCAAATCAAATGATAGATGTACCTTTAAAAGTGTCGGTTCGGTTAATCCTTCTAATATTTTAGTTCTATACTAGTGGGAAGCCAACCTTATGAGCAAGATGTAAAAACCCTTTAGAGCACTGCAGGTCAGTTTTCTGGTTGAGTCTCGATAGTCCGAAGTACCATTGGTCCAAAGTCCCACAGGTCCGAAGTCCCATTGGTCTGAAGTCCCATTGGTCCGAAGTCCCATTGGTCTAAAACATACTACTGTGAAGTTCCACTTGTTCAGGTTGACTGTCCCTAACCCTCACCCTACCCTAACGCTAACCCTAACCCTAATCCTATGGGGCGTCGGACCAATAAGCCTTTTCTGAGTTCCAACTGTGCATTCATAACCCCTGACAACGCGCATTGTTTGTCTTAAATGGCCTTTGACAACATCGCGCCACTGACTTTACAAAAAGGCTGTTTGTGCATTGTGGGTACTGTCAAAGGGCATTTGAGACAAACAATGTGCGTTGTCACAGGTTACGAATGCGCGCAGTTGGAACTCCGAAAAGGCTTATTGGACTTTGGACCAATGGGACTTTGGACCAATGGGACTTTGGACCAATGAGACTTCGCACCAATGGGACGTCGGACCAATGGGACGTCGGACCAATGGGACTTCGGACCAATGGGACTTCGGACCAATGGGACTTCGGACTATAGAGACGTTCCCAGTTTTTTGGTGTCTGGTGAAGGGACGTGAAGTGTTTTAGTAATGTGTAACAAAGAGGGTCGCTACACAAAAAAACGGCAATGTGAAGAGCAGTGAAGTGTGACCAAATTTGCCTGCTTGCCATGAGCTGAAACAAGGCCGTCAATAAGTGTGTGTGTGTGTGTGGGGGGGGGGGGGGAAATTCGTTGATCGGAAGTAATGCGAGCGCGAAGCCCTAACTGCATGGGGTAATGAGCTGTAAACTCATACACAAAATTGTGGGAGACTTGAAGTGCTATTCAGAAGATTACCTCAAAGAAATTTGAAGTCTAGGTGCAAACTTTATGGGCAAAGTTGTTTTGCAAAACTTGAAGGGTTATGAATGAAGTGCAGAAGAGGCTGTTTGTGCATTGTGGGTACTGTCAAAGGGCATTTGAGACAAACAATGTGCGTTGTCACAGGTTACGAATGCGCGCAGTTGGAACTCCGAAAAGGCTTATTGGACTTTGGACCAATGGGACTTTGGACCAATGGGACTTTGGACCAATGAGACTTCGCACCAATGGGACGTCGGACCAATGGGACGTCGGACCAATGGGACTTCGGACCAATGGGACTTCGGACCAATGGGACTTCGGACCAATGGGACTTCGGACTATAGAGACGTTCCCAGTTTTTTGGTGTCTGGTGAAGGGACGTGAAGTGTTTTAGTAATGTGTAACAAAGAGGGTCGCTACACAAAAAAACGGCAATGTGAAGAGCAGTGAAGTGTGACCAAATTTGCCTGCTTGCCATGAACTGAAACAAGGCCGTCAATAAGTGTGTGTGTGGGGGGGGGGGGGGGGAATTCGTTGATCGGAAGTAATGCAAACGCGAAGCCCTAACTGCATGGGGTAATGAGCTGTAAACTCATACACAAAATTGTGGGAGACTTGAAGTGCTATTCAGAAGATTACCTCAAAGAAATTTGAAGTCTAGGTGCTAACTTAATGGGCAAAATTGTTTTGCAAAACTTGAAGGGTTATGAATGAAGTGCAGAAGAGAGGGTTACTGTTGACTTGTTGACAGAGCAGTCAGTAGCCACTCTCTATTTTGTTATTCTTACGATAAAATGTTGACATTCTGTGGCATCAGGGCGGTGTCATTGCCATTTTCATCAACTGGGATTGTAATCTGGACAACAGCTGGGATGACTGCAGGCCCACATACAAATTCAAGAGGCTTGACAACAAAAACTCAACGTTGGCAAAGGGGTACAACTTCAGGTAAGGGTTTGAAGGTTTATCAAGGAGTGCAGTAGCGTAGTAGAGTCTAAAGAGTGTAGAATGACAGAATAATTCTTTTGAAGGCCAACAAAGTAGAGAAAAAGGGAGTAGTTAAATCATACTCTACCGTTATCGTTGCAGTTGAATCCAACACAAGTTCTCACAAGTCAATCACAGTGAATTATTATAAGGGAATACATGTGTGCGTCGGAGGTTTAAAACTCTCTGTTTGAGACCGGTCGATATGATGTCTGGATGCTGGTATGCGGCTCTGGTAATTATCAGCATCTAGACTCCAACCGGTCTTCAACTTGGTTTTAAATTCCGATTCAGCACATATTTCTTCCCATTTGTAAATACCTTTTCGGTCAAAATATCAAAAAATTTCGGTCAAGAGTCAAAACAAGTCAAAACATATAAATTTCCAACGATTTCGCTAAGCAGTTTCACTTCATGTTTTTCGAAACAACCCTCTAGCTATATAATAGAGTGAACAGCTCCAGCTCGATCTCCATAAACACATGTATGGAGATCAATGGTCGTAAACAATGGATATTTGCGCGCGCGTCACGCGTACTGCGCGATGTCCCGCGGAATGCAGCTGTGACGGTGCGTTGTGAATTGAGGACTATGAATCACTGACTCACTATTGCGCATATGCGGACGTGCTGATTGTGAGTGTTCAACCAATATAACGGTCAAAGGCACCGGATTTTATAGAAGTCCAAAATGTCATGTGGCACTGGATGGAAAAAGTGTTTAAGACCGCACTACCCAGCTATGTCTTTATCATCCGTGTAAGACCGGCCACGTGACGGGCTCTCGACAAATGGCTAAACTGTCTTTGGTATTTATGAACAAACATTCATAAATACCTCAGACAGTTTAGCTATTCCTATTGGTCGAGAGCCCGTCACGTTGCCGAACTTTCTTTGGTATTTATGAATACACATTCATAAATACCTCGGACAGTTTAGCTATTCCTATTGGTCGAGAGCCCGTCACGTGGCCGGTCTTAAACGGATGATAAAGACATGGATAGCTCGTCGCAGAGCTGACATACCGGCGAAACGACCATTTTGGCAATTTCGAGATTTTGTTATTTTTAGGGTTTATGAAGGTTGCTCTTTCAAGTATTTATGCCAAAATTCTGAATTTTAGTCTGGATTTTGAGATTCAGAGCCCCCCTTGTGGCGAATTACTCACAAAAACAAATCCATAATTTGACAAAGTGACGAATACGGAATTTCGCTGGTAACCAGCTTATGTAAGGTGTGCGTTCAAAGTACCAACAAAGGTTATTCGTCAGTTTGTCCGGATTGCGTGCGCGTGCACGCGCGATCCGAGAAACCGACGAATAGCATACAAACAGTGTGAAGAACAACCGGCTATTGGAGATTAATGTAATTTGACAAACTGACGAATACGTTTACGACCAAATAAAATCATATCGTACAACTTCTCTGATTAAATAAGTGACCTGATAGATACTAAGTTTCCTATTTTACTCCGAATACACACCAAAAGGGCTTTTATCGAAACATTAAGGGTAAAATACGGCGCCCAGAAAAAGTCCAACTTCGAACGCGAATTACTCGAAACAAGGTTTTCGCTTATTCGTCGGTTTGTCAGCTTTGCGACGGGCTGGTCTTTAACACTTTTCCAGTGTCACAATAAAATGTGGACTCCTAAAAATCCAGTGCCTCTTACCGTTTCATTGGTTGAACGTTCACAATCCTCACGTAAGCATGCGCAACACTACCAGCGGGTCAGAATTTTATAGTTCTAGATTCAAAACGCAACGCCCCAGGTGCGTTCTGCGCGACATCGCGCAGAACATGCTACGCGTGCGTCAATCTCCATAAAAGGGTTGTTTACATCTTACTCGCCAGCTGGACAAGGTTTTCGCTTATTCGTCGGTTTGTCAGCTCTGCGACGAGCTGGTCTTTAACACTTTTCCAGTGTCACAATAAAATGTGGACTCCTAAAAATCCAGTGCCTCTTACCGTTTCATTGGTTGAACGTTCACAATCCTCACGTAGGCATGCGCAACACTACCAGCGAGTCAGAATTTTATAGTTCTAGATTCAAAACGCAACGCCCCAGGTGCGTTTTGCGCGACATCGCGCAGAACATGCTACGCGCCCGTCAATCTCCATAAAAGGATTGTTTACAATTACTCGCCAGCTGAACGCTCCATTATTTTGCTAGAGGGATGTTCCAAAAAGTATGAAGTGAACTTGTTGAACAAAATCGGGATTTTTTGAACGAATTATGTGATTTTCTTTTTTACCGAAAAGGTATTTATGAATGGGAATAAATATATTCTCGGTCGGTATTTATCACTCTGTATAAGACTGCTTAGAGTCTGGGTGCTGATAATTACCCTCGCCTCCGGCTCGGGTAATTATCAGCACCCAGACTCTGAGCAGTCTGAAACAGAGTGATAAAAACCTCAAGAACACATATTTATTCCCTTATTAAACAGTACATTGTTAAAGTGTTTATCGTGTGCACCTTGGGACTGGACTTTTGAATGGGCTTGGGTAAACAGGCGCAGATCCGGGGGTTGGGGGTTGGAGGGTCGAACCCCCCAGCTCTGTCCCCCCAAAAAAATCATCACACAAATTCCTAAAAAATAAGTCGAACCCCCCCCCCCCCCTTGCTATGACACCCCCCCCCCCCCCAAATCTACTGGTATAATGTCCGCCTGTTCAAAATACGGTACACCATTCTGTAATCTAGTGTTAATAGACCTTTCTGCGCTTGGTTGGCAAATTGCATTTTTGTCAACCACGGCCTGCAAAACTATGGAAGGTCCAACACTGCAAAAATGAAGAAGAGTTATTACAGATCACCAAAATATTATTTGATACTTAAAAATACAACATTTTCATCAAACCTACAGAATAATTCCTAAATATGCCTTTTTACTATGTGTTGATGGCGTTATGAGGATTTTTTTTGGAAAAAATTATTGCCAACCACGGTTTCAATATATGCGCTTACGGCAGCCCATACAAATTGGCGCCAATGTTTACAAACAAAAGAAAGGCTTATAATCGTCCAATTTGAACGGCTCCCCTATTGAAATATGGTATCAGACCCCCCCCCCCCGTTTTTTTTATTTTACGGAGGCCAAGTGTCCAGAGAAAAAAACCTGTGTACATTTTCACATTTTTGGGCTGATGAACCCTCCCCCCCCCCCCCTGCGAAAATTCCTGGATCCGCCCCTGGTAAAACTGGTCCACATTTTGAAGCGGAGCAATTAACAATTATTGACTGCTGCGATGTAGGATATTTCATGTAGCGGATTAGCCGCTGGCGGCGCTATGCATAGACCCAGCTTTGACAGCTATTTTTGGTCGCCCGATGCACAGCGCGTGATCACTGCATGATCAGCTCATGTTCATGTGCCAAGTGGGCTTACTTGGCGCGGTAAGTAGGTTACAAGTCAGTTCAAGTCTGGCAGTCTCACGGAAAGGATCTTGTACGCGATAAAAAGTGCATTTTATTTAGAACCTTTAAAATATCAGGCTAGTACAAAACCAAGGGATTTGTTAGATTACAAGAGAGTACAGAATAAATTTCATCAAAATCAAGAAGAACATTTCATCGTCCATTTATTGTATTGAATAAATTAAGCAGAATTAATTGACGTTCCCAGAAGATTTGTAGCGCTCGAGTCATACGTTACAATATGTCGTTTAACACTAGTGCAGCACTAATGATACCCGCAGCAGATATGTGCATAACTATGTTTAAAAAAACGGCATGTCCCTTGTCACAGCAGTCAACATTGTTTTGTCATGTACTAATAAGTCAAAAAGGAAAGGATGGAAATAACTATTGCTTTGCAAGAAATGCATGAAATTAGTAAGACAATAAAGTTAGTTTGATATTGGACATTGGACATTCACATTCGTTTGTACAGGGAATGTCCATGTTGCTGTTTGGATATTGGACATTGGATATGCACATTGGTTTGTATAGTGAATGTCCATATTTTATTTGGATATTGGACATTGGACACTCACAATCGTTTGTACAGGGAATGTCCATGTTGCTGTTTGGATATTGGACAACGGATATGCACATTGGTTTGTATAGTGAATGTCCATATTTTTTTTTGGACATTGGACGTTGGACATTCACAACCGTTTGTACAGGGAATGTCAATCTTGTTTTTTGGATATTGTACAATGGATATGCACATTGGTTTGTATAGAGAATGTCCATATTTGGATATATGACATGGGACATTCACATAGGTTTGTACAGCAAATGTCCATATTTTTTAAACTCCGAGAGAAGGCGTGAGTGAGATGCCCCCTGCCGTGAATCGCACCGTCGGATCCCACCAGACGCCCTGCTCCGTTTCTCTGGTGATACACGGACATTGGAAATGCCTTTATGGTTTTGTATTGCGAATGTCCATGTTTCACCTGGATATTGGACATTGGACCTTACAATAGGTTTGTAAAGCGAATGTCCATAGTTTTAAAGTCTGGGGAGGCGTAATTGTGATGCGCTCCCTGCCGTGAATCGCACCGACGGGTTCCCACGAGACGCCTTACAATTTTGTCTGGTGTTACACGGAAATTGGAAATGCCTATGGTTTTGAATGGCCAATGTCCATGTATTACATGGATATTGGACATTGGACAGCCCAATAGGTTTGTATAGCGAATGTCCACATTTTAAAGTCCTTAAAAAAAGGCGTGATTGTGATGTCCCCCTGGCTGCCGTAAATCGCGACGACAACTCCCACAAGTCGCGCTGCTAAGTTTGTCTCGTAATACACGGACATTTGAAATGCCAATAATGTTTGTACAGCAAATGTCCATATTTTTTAAACTCCGAGAGGAGGCGTGTTTCAGATGCCCCTGCCGTGAATCGCACCGTCGGATCCCACCAGACGCCCTGCTCCGTTTGTCTGGTGATAAATGCCCAAGACTTTGCATGACGAATGTCCATAGTTAACTTAGATATTGGACATTTGACAGTGCTACAACCGTAATTGATAACTGCAGGCTTTACTGCCGGTGTCATATCAAAACCAGACTCCTATGAAAATCGAACCCCTTTTCCCTATTATTGGTTAGGCTTCAGGTCAAAATACAAATGGTTTGCCAACCAGGAATGATAAATAAACGATAAGCCCCTTACACGCTTTGAAGTGAACCGTGCAACCGTACAGAGTATGGAGAAAAACGCTTCGCGGTTGGGTGCACTCAACTCTCCAACTACTTCGTCCATAACTATAGACAGCTTATAGGACTGCATTCTATTGTGGCTGCTTGGCGACTCATTAATAATTGATCGTCTTTTCTTGTATAGATAGATTATCTCTGCCTGCCTAATGCAATGGGGCTGTGCTCTGCACACTGGGCTTAGCTGCGGTTGGGTGCACTCAACTCTCCAACTACTTCGTCCATAACGATAGAGAGCTTATAGGATTACATTTTAATGACGCCATGAATGGATGGAGTACATTAAAGAAACTGCCGCACAGCCAATCGGTAAACGGTTCCTGTTGAATCGGGAACGAAATGAAAGGAGATTAAAGGCATTCATTCCTGGTTGACAAACCATTTGTATTTTGACCATGCAGTTCTCCGTTGCGATCGCACGCGCACAACGCGCATTGTGCAAGGATAATCATTGTGTAGGTTATATGCATATTGTAACGAAACAGGGGTATGTGTAGACTGATATCAAGTCTAGCCTCAGAAGCATCACGTCAGTCCGCGCGTTGGAGCGCGTGATACTGTGGGGCAACCAATCAGCATGCGCGTCCTGCATATACACTAGGTTGATGGGCATGTCTGGCTATGAATTACGCAGGCGTGTACCGCGTGATCGAGTGCATGATAGCGCACGGCGACAAATCAGCAGCGAGCGTCCGGCCGGCATGGTCTGGGGCGATTGTCTCGTGGCCTGGCGTGGGTTCAGCACTCGTGGTAGAGACCTCATTGAGCTTTCAGCGTGTAAACAAGCCTGTTGCGACACCGCGAAGCAAAGTGCTGAATTCACCGTGTGAAGCGAGCGACGTCGTGGGAGGAAGCCCGGCGTGCACCCCGGTGCGATTGGTCAGTGTAAACGGACTGGAGCGGGAGAAAGCCCCATCGTGCCTGAGAGCGAAGTCGGGATTATTTAATATAGGGCCTGAGTTAAGATAATAGTCGGACCCGGAGTAAATCTGAAGGTTGGGGAACAGTAAGGCTTAGTTCAGACTTAAGGATTGTCTTCCGTTGTTTGTGCCATTTGGCGTAGCTGCAGTCTAGCTGCCCTGTGAGTCCGTAGGCTTGTTTTCCCATTGAGGAAGTAGTGTAGCTTATAAGACTGTTCGGAAGGTTTGTCTGCCGTTGATCTAATTGGCGTGGCTGCGGTTGATGTGGACTTGGACAACTGAGAGCTCGCTTTTCCTGCCGGGTAACCCGCTTAATTGTGACTTTGTGGGTGAGGGAATTGCATGCCGTTGTCCTGTGCAACTTTGGCGTAGAAACGGTTGATTGCGACCCTGTAAAGTCTGTGAATCCTGAGTTTCCCGAAGGTTTACTGGGTTAACGTCAGGGGACTATTATTGTTGTCGGGTGGGTTATAACGTTACTAACTACCCCGTGTGTGTAATTCGCTGGTCAAGCGAGTAGCAAGGACGTGTTGTATTGTATAAATCTACCCTGTTATTGTAGACCTCATTAGAGTCATTTTGTGCTAAGTGAAAGAACACTAGCCCGTTATTTAAGTCAGTGGTGCAGACGACCACATTATAAACTAGGAACCTCGAGGAGTATAGGTGAGGTATACCCAAGTGAGGTTTACCTTAAGTGAATTACCCCGCTAAGCTGTGAGTTATAATTGTGCAAGTTAATCATAAGGGAGTGCAGTTGACCCCTGTTGAACCAGATGATTATAATTGTATAAGCTAAAGGGTGCAGTTGACCCAAGAGCCGTACGAAGATTATAATTGTATAAGCTAATGACAAGGGGTGCAGTTGACCCCTCAGCTAATAGCGAGGTTTACTAGTGTTCATTATCACAGTGAGGTTTACTAGTGTTTATTCTAAGAGCGAGGTTTACTGGTGCTCATTACCACTGCGAGGTTTACCAGATTATCACAGTGAGGTTTACTAGTGCTTATTATAATAGAGAGGTTTACTAGCGCCCCTTACCACAGCGAGGTTTACCTGGATTTATCTTAACGGTGAGATGTATCATTGTATACATTATTGAATGGTGACGCATTGACATTATATTTGAAGTGTGCTAAAGGAATAAACTAATTGATTGACGTCTTGGAATCACTTGTCCCCGTGAGGGTTATTGAGGTTCACTGTGAAGCTTATGTAGTCCCACTCTCTTTGAGATATATCTGAATAAGTTAGTCTCCTCTGTTGTCAATAAAGTCAAGTACGTAACCACCGATCGGTGGTATATTTCCGCTAAACGAACAGCCCCTAGGCTTAGTCCGCCGTTCGTTAACTATATCCCCCCCCCCTTGCGTCAGGGTAACCGCTCATCCTTGCGCGAGGTTTATAAATACTATTGTGGGTTAAGGCCAGGTCCAATTCCATTCTTCGATCAGGTCAGACTGTCGGGTCACCTAGTTATTCCCGCCACAAAGGGTGTATAGCTCGTTTCGCCACAATATTTACAGACTGGACACGTGGACTTTCTCGACCAATGAAATGACAGTATCCAAGCACACGATATAACAATTGTTTTAGAGGCTCTGCATGAGAATATGCTGCGTGTTATGCAAAATGACAGCAGGCAAATCACAGTCATCAGTATCGAAAGCAGAGTTATTTTTTAAATAAAGATTTAAAAAAATGATAATTCAAATCAGCTTTCATAATAAGTTGCTTTTTTGCACGAGTTGTGTGGTCATTTTTTTTTTTATTGTTGACAAGTTGATTGATGTATATTTATATTCAGCAGAACTTGGTTCTGATTGCCTTGACATATTTCCTCTGCAGGTTCTCCAACTATTACCAAGATGCAAATGGCATAGACACGCGTACACTGTTGAAAGCCTACGGGATCCTGTTCAAGGTGATTGTGACCGGAACGGCTGGCCAGTGTAGTGGAGTGCAGGTGTTGCTGTATCTTGGATCGGGCTTTGGTTTCTTTACTGTAGTAAGTTGAGGGGGGGGGGGTGGGGGGAGGGAAGTGGAGGGTAGGATAGGGAATGGCACAGGGGTGGGTTGAGTAAGGATATGATTAAATTGAGTTATGTAGGGAGAGGAAGGGTGGGTCAGGATGGGGGCAGTGACGGGGGTAAAGGGTAGGATTGGGTATTATATAGTAAAACGGGAGGGATCGAAGGGGACAGGATGTGATGAGGAGGGTAAACCTTAAGGGAAAGGATATAAACCAGAACCAGTTAGCAGTAGCAGAAATGCCATTTTTTTGCCACCTTAACTTTTGAATTACTTGGTTCAATCAAGTGTCAAGACTTGTGTGAAACATTAAGAGGAATGAATAACTATATAAAATGAAATGCCGGTAACAAAAAAATCATATAATCCTACGAACGTTCAGTGCTTCTTATACCGAGGAAAATGAAACCTAGTGCAAATTATTACGAACCAAATTTGGACCTTTCTTTCTCTGCACAGGCAACAGTGTTCTGCAACCTCTGTTTGTGTTGCGCCATGAGGTTGTATGCGAAGCGCCAAAATAAGAAATATGTCAGTGTGAATTGCGAAGAGGCTACTGACCCTGATGAGCACGAGGTAAGTGCTTTGTTTTCTTTGTTAACCTTGCAGTTCTCTACAGATTTATGCAGTGGCGTAAAGGCCGGGGTATTTACCCCGAATATTCTATAAGTGACCTTTTTTCACCAATGTCTACCCACCCTTACCCCATATTTGTAGAGAGTGCCCCCCTTTAAGAAGTGTTTCTTTTTTATTTTAAAGAAGTGCCCTGTTTTTATTAGTGGCCTTGTACGGCACAATTAGTAGCCCTTTTCGAGTTAAAATTTTGTCCATAGAAAGACGGTACTAGGCCCCCCCCCCACGACCCACTTTTAGATGTTACGGTGGCGAAGTGTCCGGAGAAAACACGGTATGTAGATTTTCAGCACGGATGTGCGAGTGACCTCCTTATGAATTTGTGTACCCCCAATAAATATGACCTTGCTACGCCTCTCTTGCATAATTATGTAGGGCATAGACCTAATTATGATCTCTCTGCATTTAACCTGTCAAATCCCCCCCCCCCGCACTGCCCCAGGTCCAATGTCAGGATTTGGTCACGTTTTTCATGCCACAGGATAGCCGGGGATTTTGCTCACTCAAATTATGTTATTATTTGCGTACTTCATTGTCGGTGATTGTTACTTAAATTATGTCCGATTTTATCAAGTGCCAAGACATTAGTGAAACATTAAGAGGAATGAATAAATATATAAAATGGAATGTCGAAAAAAAAAATCATGATTTAATCATACGAACGTTCAGTGCTTGTCAACTAAGCAACGAAAATTAATTCTAGTGTGTTACGCGTGGACACACCAAACTAAAAGCCCAGTATGTCACACACGACAGCAAATGCAAATTAAATGGGAAGAACAATTAGCCAAAAACGAAGGGGATATGTATTGAACAACCATCAATTAATAAGGCGGGGAAACGATGATATCAATTCATAGAAATTAAGGTGCATGACTTATAATTATGCTTCAAAGTCAATCCAATTTAAATTAAGTATCGGCCGATTCTTACGCGAAATGAGTGAATGAATGCCCGGTGAACTGAAGAAAATGCAGGAGGCCGGGTTGCTCTGTTAAGCGATAAGGGGGGGGGGGGGGGGGGGGGGGGGGGGGGCGTGAAAAACTGCGTCCTGTCACCTCGGGATTCCGAGGTGTAGTCCACGTCCAACGAGGGGGGGGGGGGGGGGGGCTTGGCTGACTTGACTGAAGAATTGACCGCAGGACTTGACTGTAGACGAGGGGCTCACACGGATAGGGTGCTAATAGTCCATGCTTTCTTGAAGCTTGAATCTTGAGCTTGGATCAAGAGCCAAGGCGTGGAAAGAACAGCCAAGCCCAAGAGGGTCCACTCCAGGTTGCTTGACTTGAATACAGGAGCAGGTTCTTCAGTGTTGTCAGCGGTCCACCTGCCCGTGATGGTATGGCTAACAGAGGCCTCGACATGGGAATGTCTACTCAATTTATAGTGGGTCAGCACATTCCACTTGTTCACTCGAAATTTATGCAAAGTTAAAGGGAATATACATAATTTGCTTTGCTGTTATTTTCAGAAATGGATGGAATTGGGGGTTGGAAATATATAGCAAACACTGACTTTTTGAGGTTTTGGGTTCGAAAATGCTATAAAAACCAAGAAAAACAATCATTTTCCTGTAGTCTGGTTCCCTGACTCCATATAAGAAGAAAGAGAGCAGTTTACATACACTGGGGAAGTGTAAGGTCAGGGAACCAGTCTAGCTGGCTTGTACCCGTTCATAGGTGTGTAATCGATTGCAAACAAGTGCGATGGTCAATTGGGGCCAGTAGTTGACAAAAAGCCAGTTTTTTTTCCAACGCTGGTCGGCCAACCAGCGTTGGAAATTGATACAAAATACCACTTTTCTTGAAAATGACACTGTTAAACAGTCCAGCAAGGTATTTCAAAATGATTTGGTAGTTTTATTATATTTTTTGATGTTTGCAAATGTTGTATTTTCCCTTTAATACAAAGGTAAGTATTTTGGAAGGTGGGGGGGGGGGGGGGGGGGGAGGGGCAGAGGATTAAGCCTATAATCCCTTACCGGCTGGCCCGACCTAAATACATGGAGGGTTCAGGCCCTGGAGGATTAAGCTGATAATCCTTCACCAGCTGGCCTGACCCAGATATTTGGAATTTAAATCCCAACTATAACAAGTGCAACTCAATATGAACCAAATTTGGACCTCTTTTCTTTTCTCTGCACAGTGCACAAAGATCGACAACTTAATCATGAGGCGCCTGCCTGCGTGGTGCAAAAAAAAGAAAAACGAAGCTGATACTGAGCAAGGGGTTAGTACTTTGTTTTATTTGTTTATTTTTTATTAACCTTGTAGTTCTCTATACATTTTTTTCAGTGGCGTAAAGGCCGAGGGTATTTTCCCCCAACATTCTGTAGCCTGCCCTTATCTATTAGTGCCCTTTTTCACCAGTGTCTACCCACCCTTACCCCATATTTGTAGAGAGTGCCCCCTTTTAGAAGTGTTTCTTTTTGTTTTTAAAGAAGTGCCCTGTTTTTAGTAGTAGCCTTGTTCGGCGCCGGCAAGTAGCCTTTTTCAAGTTAATATTTTAGTAGGGGGGCCAATGTGTAGATTTGGGGTTCCCGTCGAAATTTCATGTTAATTTATGGCAACCATTATAAATGTAATCTTATGAGTGCTGAGAACAAGAAAATTGATGTTGCCATTTTTTCCACTGACCTTTAGTGACCTTGGCCTGAGGTCAAAGTTCATGGGTCATTTTCACCTATAATTTGCCTTTCGGAAGGGTTTGCGAAGATTTTCGAGGCAAGTGAGCACATATTGTATTTGGTTGAGAGTTTCTCCATTATAATAAATGTTATTATTAATGTATTTATTGGTTTTCCTGAAGAAAACATGGGAAAATGTCACTTTTGCCTGAAAAAAGCTGGGTTGTTCTGACCATCTCACGCAGATTCCGCCCCCCCCCCCATGACCTCGGCCATCGAGTGACGAAAAATTATGAAACTCGGTACATGCATAGAACAACTTAACATGAACAAACCCAAGAAATTTCATGACTATGGGTCAAAGGGTTTTGGAATTACGGCTAATTAATTATTCATAAGCACGTATGGTAATTCAAATGTGTACACTACGTATATGGGGAAATTCAGTTTTGACGGAGGGTAGCGCCGAAAATATTTCGCTGCGCGGCAACCTGTGGTTCGAATTTTATGTTTTTGGTATCAAAAGATGTGCAAGACTCGAGGCTAAAAAGTCAGGACAGCTCAGGCCATGAAATAAATAATTTTTTCAAGAGTATCGCGGAAAATTTGAAAGAGGGAAAATCCACCCCCCCCTTTTAGGGCCAAAATATGACCAACCCTTTAGTGCCTAGCATCTAAATATGGAATGTTGTAAAGTGTCCTCTGCAGTACCGCACTCACACAGGGTGTTTGTCGGTTGAGGAAAATCCCCACTTCTTTTGGTGCGAGCCACTCCAGAGCGGAGGTGATTTAAGCACCTCCAGGTCTTCCATCCTGCATTGGATCCTGTAGGTAAGGCTTCTGCAGGCTTGATGATGCATCTCATGTAGTGGGGGAGACGCCACCAGCCTGGTCAACCCAGGAGGCACACACTTGGGTCTTAATAGCAGGATTGATCGCTTTCAGGTGACTCACAGTGTAGCACTGCTGTGACTGGTCAAGAGCATTGGTCAACGTCTTCCCTTGGGGGACCGTTCCTTTGAAGACGTACTCTACTCTGCCCTTGAATACTACAAAGAAACGATGGTTCTTCAGTAGAACACCAATATCTGGGTAAGGGTCAGGTCTGCCGTCATGCCCAGGATCTTCTGAAGGAGTCAGCAACGGTTAACACTGTCAAAAGCAGCTGTAAGATCAACAAAGACAGCGCCGGTGATCTTTTTTTTTCTTATGGAAGCAGTCCTTAATGTACTGAGTGAGATTTAGAAGCTCTCCTGTTGTAGATTTGCCGGGACGGAAGCCTGCCTGCCTGTTCCTGTATCAGTTGTTTCCCAATGAAGAGGCAAGAAGGTTGAGAAGGAAATATTCCAGCAACTTGAATGTGTGACTTTGGGACGATAAGTTTTGACATGCATTGGGTCTTTCCCGGGTTTTAGGAGGGCGATGACCTTCGACTTTTGCCACACTTTAGGTATTGTTTGTGTGGCGAGGCAGGTGTTGATGAGCTGGAGTAACCAATTTGAGGCGTTTGGTCCAAGATGTTTCAGTTCTTTGGTGAAAATGTTATCCAGTTTGGTTGATTTCCTGTTCTTCATTTATGCCAGTCGCAAGTTCATTAGCAGAGAAGGATTTGATGAAGCCAATTAGGTCGATGGCGGGGTCTTTCTGGCGGAGCTTGGCTTTCGGTCGCTTATTAGGAGAACGTGGCACTTTACCATTTACATAGCAGTTGTTGTGGGCTATTTGGT